CAATTTTGTCTATTTAAAATTTTTTTATCTTTTTAAATACATAGTACATACCATATTGATCATATGGTATCCTAGAATGATTGTGCCTTCAATCGCGATCATATTGTTACATATCGTTAACGTTATTGTTTCAACAGAATGTAAAATTCAAAACTGAAACTATTAGAAGTTCGTTAAATACATTATCCAAGGTTATATTAGACGACATTGCAATAATTTTAATAACATTATACTCAATACTCTCCTCAGACATAGTTACAATTAAAGTAAAGATCTTAGGTAGAGAAGGTGAAAGATTTGGGAACCGAATAGTAAAAATACGAAAAACCTAACGTATTATAATATTTTGTCAATTTATTAATAAATTTAAAATGCATTATAAAACCGCAAAAAAGCTGGTAGAACTTGGACAGGTATGTTGAAAGACATACCGTCCGTTGTGCGCTTACTAATTTGCTTGATTTATGTTTTCAACTATAAAAAACAAGCGTTGTACACATCCGGTCGTTTATGTTGAAAAACATACAACCGTTGTAAAAACGCAACAAAAGCTACCAAATCGACATTAAGTAAAATTTTAAGAAAAAAGGTCGGATCAAGTTGAAATTTGTAAGAAATAATTTGTTGGTGTATTCTTATATGGCAATAGTCTCAATTTTAAACTATAGGTACCTATCCTATAATATGCTGGCAGTAAAAATATTTTGACAATAGCGTCTCCTATAGTTATAATGTTAATTGCTACTGTTATTATTTTTTGTCTCGCCACGTCTTTCGCGAGTTTCATCTATTGGTTTCTCGAGTTTCTCTCGATCTGTACGACCGATTCTAGAAAGTGAATTGTGATGTTCGGCTGTTTAAGTTTTTGGTTAAGATTTTCCATGTGGTTTTAAAGTTGACAAATTTTCTCTTCCACTCTCTGATTTTTACTTTATAGTTCTTTAAGGCGGTTTTTCATATCAACCGCCTGTAAATTTCCCATGACTAAATACAAAATCAAAGACACTTCATTTAAAATATGTATTCGATTATTATTATTATTATATCGATAATTATTGATTCCGTATAGTGCCAAAAACGTTTTGGATTTTTAATGGGTGCGGACGATATAAGAACTATAACACAATCTACATAAAATACATCGAATTAGTAATATTGGGAAAAATACTGCATAATAATATTATAACGTGTAAGAAAATAACAACTATACGCCGTTGTCTTCTGTACATCAAGTGGATTTTAACAAAAATTAAAAATACAAGTGGTGCCTATACTTATAAATATGCGAAAAACGCAAATTGCATGTAATTATGTCATCTTCTTAGGGGTGAAATTACAAAAATAAAAAATCATTCTAAACACTCCAACGATAGTAAAATACGAATTTAAAAAATAGGTATTTGTTGTAACTCAATATGTAAAATCTACAGAACTACTATGCAAGAAAAATAGGTCGAACATATAAAGACACAAACAACCAAACGAAATACGTTAAACAAAATCTGTTTTTCTTTACTAGTACAAAAAGTGTACACCTACTCGTTTGTAAAGTGACGGTGCGCCGAAAAATACAAAAAAAAATTTTTTATATATGATTCGTAGATTATTTTAAAAACATGCCACTGTAGCGGTCACGATGACGCGTGAGCGCTAACGCGAATAAATGAGCTCAATTAATATAAAAAGAGTAGATAATAACAAAAAGATTTATTTTGATTAACAAAAAAATGTAGTAAGCAGAAAAGCGCAGAAAGTTCTCGGACGTCTATACTCGGTGGCGTCGTTGAGAGAAGAGGTCGATGGCCGGAGGACGGTCCCGTTGCACGCTGTCGATGGTAGTGGGCGCTTGAGCGGTGTGACCAACCGTCTTCACGGGGCCTGCCGCCACCGGGGAGAAATTATGTGGTGGTGCGCCGCCACATTACTCCCCCCCGGCAAAGAAGAAAAAACAGACCCGTTTGTTTTTGATGTCGGAAGGTGATTGATCGATCGCATCGCATAAGAGTGGTCGGTGAGTGGATCGTCGCGTAAGATGAAAGCCGGCTTAAGTCAGTCCACGGAGATCCAGGACGTCCGGTGGCCGAGCTGCAGCTTGAAATCCTTGGGACGACGTTCGAGCACGGCGTACGGCCCTTCGTAACGGGGTTGAAGTGGCGCGCGGTGTGCGTCGACCCGGACAAAAACGTGGCTGACGTTGTCGAGCTGAGTGGGCACGAAGATGCGCTTGCCCGAGTCATGATCTGTCCCCTGTATAAGTCGAAGTCGGGCCATTGAATCTCTTAGCGCGGCGACGAGGTCATGCGCCGTCGGTTCGGGCGGCGCCGAGTGAAACAGTTCACCGGGCAGCCGGAGGGATGTCCCGTAAACCAATTCCGCCGGAGCCGCGCCGATGTCCTGCTTGACGGTGTTCCGCAGCGCGAGGAGAACGATCGGCAGGTGTCGTGTCCAATGCGGTGACTCGTATGCGGTGAGTGCCGCCTTGAGCGTCCGGTGTAGACGTTCCACCAAGCCGTTGGCTTGCGGGTGGTATGGGGACGTGCGGACGTGCTGAATGCCGAACGTGGTGTTGAGTGTTCTCATAAGCTCGGACTCGAACTGCCGTCCCTGATCTGTCGTGACGACATCCGGGACCCCGAAGCGAGCGATCCAGTTTGACACGAGAGTGGAGGCGACGGTTTGTGCGCACATACTATCGACGGGCCACGCCTCCGGCCAGCGCGTGTAACGATCGATACAGGTGAGCAGATATTTGGCGTTATTTGACGTGGGCAGTGGACCTACAAGGTCGAGATGTATATGCCCGAACCGGCGGTCTGGGGCCGCAAACGGTGCTAGCGGTGATGTAGTGTGCTTGTGAACTTTGGCCCTCTGACATTGTTCACACGTTCGGACCCATCGGCGTATTTCCCGATCCATACCGGACCAGACGAAACGTGCCTTAACGATTCGGCTGGTGGCTGCGCGACCGCCATGAGCCTGCCCGTGGAGCGTTGTGAAAACTGCGCGTCGGTGGCACTGCGGGACGAGCAGTCTCGTCCGGTTATACGCTACGTCGAAGTAGACGGGCCCGTTCGCTGTCTGGCGCGCTTCGAGGTCTAGTGAGGTTTTTGTGACGCCGGAAATGATGTCCCTGAGTTCTCTGTCGTTCGCTTGGTCGACTGCCCACTGATTGAGGTCCGGCAGGCCGTCTTCGAGAGTGGCCAACTCGAGGCGTGAAAGGGCGTCGGGCACCACGTTACTCTCGCCGCTGACGTGTTCGATGTCGTGGATAAACTGAGACAGGAAAGCGACATGTCGCGCCTGACGGTCGATAAGTTTTTCCGCTTTTTGTGTGAACATAAACAGTAACGGTCGGTGATCAGTCCTGAGAGTAGTGAACCTGCTCTCGATCGAGTGAACAAAATGTCGAACCGCTAGGTAGGCAGCGAGGAGTTCGCGATCATAGGTGCTGTACCGTGTCTGCGCGCCGGTGAGTTTGCGCGAGAAAAACCCGAGTGGTTGCCAGTCGTCTCCGGAGCGCTGTTCGAGTGTTGCACCCACAGCGATGTTCGACGCGTCGGTACACAGGCGCAACGGTGCTTCGTGATGTGGATGCACGAGTCGTGCTGTAGCGGCGAGAGCTTCCTTGCAAGCTTGAAACGCTTCGCGCGCTGTGTTTGTCCACGAGAGTGGGCCGTCGCGTTTCGGAACCAGAGCGGTGATGTCATAGAGCGGTGCTTGAAGTCTAGCCGCGTTCGGGATGAACCGATGGTAAAAATTCAGCGACCCGAGAAAACGCTGCAGCTCCTTTTTGGTGTTCGGCTGCGGCCACTGACGGATGGCACTGACGCTATCCGGGTTCGGGCGTAAGCCCTGCGCATCGACGACGTGTCCGAGAAACGTGAGCGTACGGGCGGCGAAAACGCACTTGGCCGGATTAATTGCAATGCCGAACTTCTCGAACCGACCGAGGACGGTGCGAACGTGTTCGACGTGCTGCTCCGCACTTGCAGACGCGATGAGGACGTCGTCGACATAGGCGAAAACGTAATCGAGCCCGGCGAGAATTGAATTTACTAACCTCTGAAACGTTTGTGCGGCGTTGTGGAGTCCAAAACACATTACCGGAAACTCGAAGAGGCCAAACGGTGTTGTGACGGCGGTCTTGTGGACGTCGCTGGCAGCGATGGGCACCTGGTGGTAGGCACGGACCAGGTCGAGTTTGGAAAAAACTGTTTTGTCTGCCAAGTTCGCCGTGAAATCGTGGAGGTACGGCAGCGGGTACCGGTCCGGAATGGTGACGTGGTTAAGCCGACGGTAGTCTCCACAGGGTCGGTATGATCCGTCTTTCTTTGGAACCAAGAGAAGCGGGCTCGCCCAGGAACTGGCCGAAGGGCGGCAGATACCCTGCTTCTGCATGAGTTCAAAATCGCGTCGTGCGATGATGAGTCGGTCCGGCGGTAATCGTCGCGGGCGGGCGAAAAGCGGCGGACCTGTCGTTTGGAGCACGTGCTCGACTCCGTGAAGAAATGTTTCCGGGACGGGCGACTCGCGTGTTACACTCGGAAACTCTCGGAGTAATTCGTCCCAATCGTGGGTGCGCGTGACGGCGAACAGCGGGGCGCTCGAGGAAACCGCGGAAGTCACTGCACAGGTGACTGTTCGTTTGTCGGTCGGGTCGACAAGGCGATGTCGCCGCACGTCGACAAGGAGGCCGAAATAATGAAGAAAATCGGCCCCGATGATGGCGCGCGAAACGTCGGCCATCTCGAACGTCCAGGTGAACGTTCGTGAGAGGCCGAGGTCGAGGTTGAGCGTCTTGGGCCCAAAGGTTTTTATATGCGTTCCGTTGGCAGCTGTGAGGCGGACGTCGGATGGTTGTCGTGAGCTGTGGTCGTGGGGCATGACCGAAATCTCGGCGCCCGTGTCAATAAGAAACAACCTACCGGAGCGGAGGTCGTTCACGTGTACCCGCGTATTTTTACTCACGGCATGCAGGGCGGGAGTCCTGTCCGTGACGCCTAGTTTTCCGCCGGCGCGGAGGTAACATGGTCCTGCGCCTTTGGCTTGAAATTACACGGCGGGCGGCAATTGCGAGCGCCGTTGCCGTATTTCTCGTGGTAGTAGCACGCCTGTGTTGGTTGCTGTGCGGCCCACTGCGTCGATGAGTGTTGTCGCTGCCGCGGGGCGTCCTTCGACGAGTTGACAATCTTTGTCAGCGACTGGACTTGCTGAGACAGCGCTGACACCGCACTAGCCAAATCTGCCATTTGGTCCTTGGAGAGGGCGTCGACGGACTGGGGGCTCGACGCTTCCATTACTCTGTCCGCGCGAGAAGCTAAGGAGTCCAGAGGGGCGTCGAGGCTGGCGATGATGGCCATGACGTTGGACGGCAGCTTCTGTAACCAGAACTCTTTCAGGGCTTCCTCGCCGATACCGGCGGGCATGACGCTGCGCATGTCGCGGAGCAGTTGTGACGGCCTACGGTCGCCCATGCCCCCGGGTTTGACGATCTCTCGGAAGCGAACGGACTTGGGTAGACTGTAAGCGTCGATCAAACGTGAGCGAATTGCATCATACGACGCGGTTGGCCCGAGGAGATCACCGATGGTGCGGACGCCATCTTCGTCCAAAGCACCGATGACGAAATTCACGCGAGTACTGTCGGCGGTCAAGCGGTGGTTCGCGAACACGGATTCCGCGTGTATAAACCAAAAATCAGGCGATTGTTTCCAAAACGACGGGAGGCGTACGTTGGCGATCGCGTTGACGAAACATCGTTTTGTTTTTGCTCCTCGATCATGGCGGCAAAACGGAACGAGCGGGTGCCGGGCGAAATCAACTAACAACGGACGATGCGTATTTCGAAACTCGAGGTCACCAATGTAGCGGTCACGATGACGCGTGAGCGCTAACGCGAATAAATGAGCTCAATTAATATAAAAAGAGTAGATAATAACAAAAAGATTTATTTTGATTAACAAAAAAATGTAGTAAGCAGAAAAGCGCAGAAAGTTCTCGGACGTCTATACTCGGTGGCGTCGTTGAGAGAAGAGGTCGATGGCCGGAGGACGGTCCCGTTGCACGCTGTCGATGGTAGTGGGCGCTTGAGCGGTGTGACCAACCGTCTTCACGGGGCCTGCCGCCACCGGGGAGAAATTATGTGGTGGTGCGCCGCCACACCACCGACTTAAAAAAAAAAGTTGTTATCCGACCGCGAATGTTTATTATCGACTATGACCAAATCAAAACGTTTATAATATATGTAAGCAATCAAAAACTTAAGGGGAACGGAAAATGGCTATTTATTAAGGGTCAAATGATAGGTGATTTTTGACAAAAATTGATCTAGTTGCTGTTTTAAATATGCCAACTAATTTTATGGAGAAAAAAAATTAAGTTTTTCTTACAAGTATATATTATTGTACCTGTTTTATTTTATCAATAGTAGTTATCAATATCCATTGAAGATTGGAATAAAATAAATAAAATAAAAAATCGAGATATAGTGAGTACCTTATGATTGTATTGGTGGGTTACTATTTTATTGCATATTTATAGTCATAGGTAAAATATATTTGATAGCTAAATACATTTTTTTGGATATTTTATTAGACAATTTCGTTTGTTAAATCACAACGATAGACAAAGATAAACATTTTATTAACTGTAATAATTAGTAAGTCTATTTATTTTCAGAATGTGACACGGATCTGGGATATTTCAGCTTTATCGGGCCGTGTAAAACCAATTAACTATTACATTATTGTGAACAATCTATCGCTTATTTAAAATTAGTTTACACATCAATATCCTAATTGACCCCCCCCCCCCGCGGGGGATGCAAGAATTTTGGTTTTTTGTGTTTTTAGCTATGTGAAGATTACAGTCTTACGATTTTTGTATAATACATTATGTTTATATTTGTTTGTCGGTGTAGTTGAGTGGTTTATTTTACTGTATACTACTATGAAGTGTAACCAATGCCTTAAAAATATGTTATCGATTGTACGAATAAACAAACGTACAGCAGCATATTTTTCGATCATGAGGCCGCTTTTAACGATACAGGGTATCCCATCAGTATTTACTAACTGAAATATCATATTTACATGTTTACTATAATTTTATGATTACTATTATTTATTTTGTATATCGTCCAGCAAAGCAGTAGTATCAATACGAACAGAACACAAATCTGTTTGATTATGTAAAAAGGTCATTTGTGTAGAAGTTTAGATGACTTAGCCGTTCCATATTTCTAGACGAAATTTTGGGACTAAACAAATATTAATAATAATTTAAAGTCCGGCATTATCTTTTCATCGAGAAAAATCAATATCATTAAAGTACAATTGAAATAATAATAAGCGAAATAATCGATTAACACTTTTTTATTGTTTTTCTTTAAGATTTTAACAGATAAAAAACCAATTATGAATATTTATCTTTAAATTGTTTTTAAAAGACTGAAACGTGTAGGCTAGAATTCAGGAAAAGTGCAGCAAGTGTTTTCATTTGTCGATTCGATCTGCTGATCCGCTCTTGACATTCAATATAAATAATATTCAGTTTTTTTCTGTGTGTAGGCGATTCATTAAGCAGAAATTATGTTAAAATACAAGAAATTGGTAAAATTATTGTAACCGAGGTAATTCATGCAATTAATGATATACAAATACATTTTTAAAATAATAGAGAAAATTAATTCAAGAAAAAAACTGAAGATGATGAAGTACTAAAACAAATAATGGAATATTGTAAAAAAGGGTGGCCAAAACTTAAGTGTGAGGAAGAGCTTAAGTACTACTGGAAATGAAGAAACGATTTGTACTTGAAAATGGCTTGATTTATTTTGGTACGATACTAGTTATGCCTAAGGTTATGAGGCAGTATGTAATTAAAAAGTTTCACAAACCTCATTTTGGCATCAGTAAAACAAAAGCCCGAGCAAAACAACTATTTTATTTTCCTGGTATTGATAGTGAAATTGAAAATTGTATTGGTTCATGTCCTGTTTCTTAAAATTTTAGATCTAGTAAAATAAAACAACCATTTGCAATTTAAAATCGCACCTTATACCAGATGTACCATTTTTTTTAATTGCACTTGATATTGCTGAATTCAATAAAATAAAGTATAAACTATTTAGTTATTGAAGGTTATTATTCTAGATGGTTAGAGGTTTTAAAATTAAATTCTAAGACAAGTGAGTTAGTAATAATAATATTAAAAGAAGTTTTCAGTAGGTTTGGCATACCTAAAGAAGTTGTTGCTGATAACATGCCATTTGGAAGTTACACTTTATAAAAGTTTGCTAGTGAGTGGAATTTTGTAATTACTAAGGTCCGTTTCACACATACACGGTTCCTGTGACGGTTTACTTATGTAATGTATGTGTTATCAGTGACGTTTTTACACTAAGGGCACGTGGGGCACAAGCCCAGCCTGATGGGGGCTCCGAAATATAATTTACATCTTTACATTACAACGTATTGACGCGAGATTTTTCAACTAAATATTTGATAGTCAGCCTTAAATGTTAAGTTATAATTTTTAAATATAGTACATTATAGTTCCGTTTACTCAAAATTTAAATGTTTCAAAAACGGCGATCAGTCCTTATACAAGCAATGAACACGTTGATCGCTGTACAGACTACAGCAGCATCACTTTTTTGGAAGAGCTATCAGAAACTGTACAGTTGAATGGCAAACAAAAATTTGTTATAGAACCATTACTTCCCACAATACATTGGATGCTCATTTAAAGCAACGATCGAAATCATACAAAGAAGTTAACAAACGTTTTAGTTTTCTTTCTCAATTAAAAACAATCATGATCAGTTGAAAAAAAAATGCAAAGAATTTTCAGAATTTTATCAGTGTAAATTTGGAATACTTAAAACAATATCTTATCAATTGTACGATAGAACTGACGCGGTTGTTCTGTGGACGCAACAGAAGGATTGGGGTTAAATAAATAAGTTCAACACGGGGTTGCGGTGGAAACACAATATATTATTCGACCGCGCCATATATAATATAAGTTATATTAATTAGGTAAAATTAAGATTTACAATACGCGGACGGATCCGGAATGATCGAGCTAGCAATGTTTTGACACAATTTCGGGACGCAACATAACAAAACAAAAGTACATAATTTGAAGCCCAATTTGCCCCATTTGATAATAAAATAATCAAATGTATTTTATCATTAAATTGATATAATACATTTTGTATACAATATTGTAGGCTTAAAGGTTTTCGGTCTAAATTCAAGAAATGTTATTAAAGTCTGGCGGTACACCTGTATCGAAATAAGTGGAACAATCTTCGAAAAAAATATTGTTGTACATTTGTCACCACACAAACAGTAAAATATGTTTTAAACTAGTGCTAAAATACATTAAATAGCAGTATACTGTATTAAAACTCAACAGATACAAACAAGTATCGAAAATCGATATGTTGTGTTGTGGGTTCATTTTTTCGTACAACTAGAAACAAATTTTTCCTAAAAACAACAATTTTGAGCTGCAAACACCATAACTGCTACGTGATAGCCATTTTTGAGAGTTTTGTCATATTGCACGTGCAATGATAATTGTTTTGAAGCAATAAAGAGGTTATGTTTTTTAAGCCATTGGTATTGCTGATTGTATTAACAGCGGATTTATGGCAATACGGCGATTTACAGTGTGTCCGTCAAAAATATGCAAAAGAAAAAACGGATGTTTACTATAAAAAACTGCTCAAGATAGACACGGGATACTCTCAGAAACAATTACTAATAAAACGGTATGATGAACTGAAGATAATTTCAACACGGATAGCGATTGATGAGGTTTGCGGACATCTCATGTGTAGTTATGTGTTCAATTGTAGTCATTACATGAACCTGATCAGACCGTTATTGACCGCAGAAGGTAATGACGGATTAAAGGAACTTATGAACGACAAGAAAGTGTTTCGTTTCGATCACCAAGTGGTCAGTATGTTAAACGTTCTATATAATTTCGGTAAGATCGATTGTGTGGATCACTTGTGGCTCGTGTACATGTATTCGAGTAATTTATATTCAGTAACTAAAAACCATAATAATATACCAAATTAAGAAGATAAACGAATCCGTTTATTGCTCGAACACGATACCGTTTACGTCCGTCTGACACAATTCACTGAACGAAATTGCATTAAAGATAGTAATAACGTTTATAACGACCAATACAGTAACTCTGATTTTTCAAAATCTCTGAAAGAAATCGGTGACAATCCAATAATATCACAGGAGGCAATCGCATAGTCTGTGGTCATGCTCAACACCACAATATACAGTAGAATCTCTAAATTAACTCAAGATATGATCATCGACGATTGTAGATCGTACTTCACATTTGATCATCTGCGTTGGAAACCTGCAATGGACGACCTTGTTTTGAGTACATTATTAATAGACTTTGCAGAAATCACCGACAAATCGGAACAAACTAG